GTTGACCCCCCGGGACTAAGCAAAGGCCATGGCCTCGTCTGATAAGACAAAGGGATTGGAAAAAGAATCAATATACATAGCAGAACCATGCATCGTTAAGACCTTTGAGATTCTGTGAAGTTCCCCCTGCACCTTGATAGACCAGGTAAACCATTCAGTTTAAATTTTTTATTTTGTTCATGAACCCGCTAAATCACTTAGCGAGCCATTCCTCAGATGGCCACTTAAGTCATAAGGAGAGACACCACGTTGTCTACTATCTTTTCGCATAAATAAACAATATGGGCGATAGAAAAGCATAACGGTCTTGCCGAGTACATAACACGCACATGATACACTGCTCCCTCAGAGTGAATATTGTCGCGACTGGCCAAGGTTGCTGTTTTTGCAGTCGAGCGGTCACCGACTTTTCGCCCCGGATATCGTGTGCTTGAATTCCACCACTATCNTTTCTGTGTTGTAAGGTAGCCATCTAATTGGTCACCTCCCTCCTTCCTGAAAATTGCATTATTGTATATTCAGTAAAAGATAAAAAGTAAAAGACACTCAGAAAACAGCACAAACCGTGCTCCGAACAAAAGGACAGGTTGTCACCACTCATCTGACTTTCGATTGTCTTCTTTGGAATTATTGGTACCTATAGCACTTGAAGTGAATGACTAACTTTTAGTGGTTTATTGTCTTGTCGGAAAGGTATGCTTTGTTATTGCTTCCGGTATGAAAATAGTCTTTTTTATATAGTTTCTATTTCAGGCCAAAACTCTCCATACCATTTTGGTGTACGTTTTTCTGCAGTACTATGAAGTACGGATCTTGGGAGCTGTTTTGTTTATTTTGTCATATAAAGCGTTTGCCCATTCCCGGCGACGTTCGACATAGTCTTAGCCGTTTTACTGTATTCACACTGCAACTTAACTAGCAGATTTGTTTTGCGATATATCTTCTGCCCATTGGCCGTCTCTTTTTCAACATTTCCAAATAACCAGATCCGTTCCCTCCAACATAGTCCGAGTCCCTTCTATAGTGGTCGATATTTTAATACCGTTTTCAGGGACGCGCATTCCCCAGGGCCAAAAGCCACCTTCAGCCTGTAAAATGACTCGAATAATTCACCGATCTTGTGTTAGACAGAGAAATACACAGACAAACTAAATTAGTTATTTAGCTGACTGATTCTCCTATACCAGTTTAACTTGTTTGTTCATTGAACCGCCAAATTATTTAGCAAGCCACTCTTCAGACGGTCGCTAATGTCGTGGATGGACGCCAGTCATCATTTTTGGTGATCAGGTGAACGAAGTCGCACTTCCGTTCGCCAACCCGATGAATTACTGGAAGAACGAAGAAATCCACCTCTTTGAGTAGGATCCACGAGGCCACAGTTTGAAGTGTTTTGCTTTACTGCCGCGATACCTTCCCTTTGAGTATACTGGACAACTTCGAGCAATCGATCATTGCCCTTCCTGAGGCATTGCTCACGTCTGGTGGCAAAACCACATGGGTACTACCAGGATTCAACGACGTTTGATACATACTAACCGCCCTCGAACCAAGGTGATTACATCACACTGACTCCATTATCTTGTGCATGGGAGCCGAGGAAAACACAAAGGCTGACAATGTTTGAGTGTTTGGTGATCTGATCCATCAAATCGGCAAAGCGAAAGCACCTGCATGAGCAAATCGTGAACACGATCTGTTGTCTGTGTGCACTGGAGCTTTGTGGACGGGTACTACTAGGGTGCCCAACCACTAAGCAGGAGAACGATTAGGGTTCTCAACCAAAGCCCTTAGTTCTGACAGGAACCTAACCACAAGGCAGCGGGTAAGATGGAGTGCAGGCCCGTTTGTCTAGATCAATTACGATGATCTTTTATCGGATCCCTGAGAATACTGTGAACTCCATCCTAGCTTTAAGGCAGTTTGTGTAAGATCTCAAGTCCCATAACCGAATTCATCATTTGCTGCAACGTAACGCCCATCATGGATGACGCGATTCGATAGGTTACTGCATTATCGTACAACGAAATACAGTGAAGCGAACTTCACTGTTCGCTGCCAAACTCGCAGTGCATACAAGGTTAGTGATAAAATGTAAGGTGGACAGGGATTGGACCTATTTTTAGGCTGGGGGGAGCCACTATGGTCAACACGGAGTACACAATCTAGCTGTGCATACACATCGTCTCAATAATAGATTACTTCCAACAGATCACACTCCAGTCAATCTAGGCTCCATGTTCTACAGGAAACCTACCGCCCACTGTGTTGTACCTGAATTAAGTGACCTAGCGAATTTAATCAACAGTACATCTAATCCTGTGAAGTCATTATATTCCGTCACTTCTCTGATTTGTTGTTCTTATTTACGCCTGACAATAACTGCTAGTTGATGTATGACGTTACCGTGTGCTTGTATCGCCTTGCCGATGGTCTAAGTTAAGCCAACTGGTACTTTGCACAAAACACGACTGACGCAGCGTCTAGGTTTGGGGCACTCGCATGTCACCCAGAGATATCCAGACCGGAATCATTATTGATGGCGGTCACATCGTTGCTTACACATGCTTCGACATTCATCTGATCAACCGCATGAAAACGGTACCTCATGTTGGGATCGCCCTCTAACCACCCCACTGTAGCCTCTGAGCACCTACAAAAAGGGCAACAGGGGACTTCGCTTATATCATCCATTCGGGAAGCCGTCCTGGAAGAGCGCAGTAACGATGGCGTTGTGATGACAGACTCGACCTCAACTATCGATCAAAGCCTAAAAACATCCATAGCGTACAGACCGAATGGGACAACACCAGCTATCTGTTACATTATTGTACCATCCTTAATTTGGGACACATTGAGGACTCATCATCGTTCTGCGAAATACAGGGAAGCGAAGTTCACTGATCGCTGCCAAACTCGCGGTGCATATGCATTGGGGTTTGATAGACGGGTACTGCTAGGATGTGCAGCCACTAAACAGAACGATCAGGGTTCTCAACCAAATCCCTTAGTTCTGACAGGAAACTAGTTACAAGGCAGCGGTTGAAGCGAAGTGGAGACCCATTTACTTGGATCGATTACTCCTCCATCGTTCTTTATCGACTGAAACGCCAGATTCCAGGCGAACCCCAAACCCGGAGGACCAGGAGACTAAAATTCGTCTGACCTCTACCCATTGACCTTCCAGTTATGATAAGATCTCCTGGCTTAATAAAGCCATCCTGTGCAGCTCGTTGGGTCACAGAGGTGCACAAGCCATCACATCACGTCACGGTGCAGTCTCGTTGTGGTCCGACTCCCATGAACTCCGTTGATAGTTTGTGGACTTATTCAGAAACACTACTGCGATTCTTTCTTCATTGCTCTTAGGGCGATACCTTGATCTAATTCGAGGAGCATATGCCTCCCTAATATGAGTCTCCTAAGCAAACCGTCTCAACAACATACGGAAAATACAAACTTTCCTCTCTCAGAACGAAAGCAAATGCAATGTAGTTTCATTTCAGGCAACTGCTTGTCTGTGGTCTCTAGGGGTGTGAGGCCTGACTACATATCTTAAACGCCAAGTGCCTAGGTAGATATTTCACACAGGTCTGAAACAAGCCATGGTATCCACCAACTAGCATGTAAGCCGACTGCCCTGACAGGTTTTCTTTAGAATTCACCGGAATCCACCGAATGAACATCTAAGTTGGATGGGTAATTCGAATGTGAAAAGATCAGTGCTACCGGTGTGGCCTCGTAGCTCAGCTGGTAGAGCGTGCGCGTACAAAGCGTAGGCAGCGTCCATGTGTGGGTTCGAATCCCGCCGAGACTGCCGAACTTTTCACAATCGCCATACAATGAAATCTGCCCGACATCCTTTTGCACACATCATGGTACAGCAGCCCTTATAAAAATAAAACGCTCCATAATTTGAATGTGGGCGGAATACTGCCAGGTTGCCCAGACCAAGGCAGGTATCCATGTATGTGAATATCAAAACGTGAAGGTTGACTGAACTGGCCCATGAACAAGCTTTTGTTAAGGTCTGCTTGTCGAGTTATTGGTCACTGAACAACATACTAAACTCCAGTCAGGATCCACTAGACTTACCCTATTCACACTACGACACAGTGTTGGTTACTTGCACCCACGCATAGGATTACCTCATGGACAACTTACTTGCTCCCGCTTGATGAATATGCGTCAATATCCCTTCCCTAGCCTACCTTAAAAATAGACTGCTGAATAAGTAATCGGGAACAAAGCACCATAGCTTTGGGTTAATCGGTGCACACCTAAAATTCCAAGAAAATGAAAATAAAGGGCTGATCAAAGCATGCACCACCTGCACAATCCCAATAACGAGTAAACTGCAGTTTACCTGTCACCGACCACTACGCGCCCCATAGTCCAGTGGTGTTTCGGGAACAATGGAAAATCGGAGGCTCGATATTGTTTAACTTTCGGAATAAAAGTTGCACCTTTTCTCGAGTCATAAACAACACGTTTGCCGGTTTTGATGCTTACCATCATTCCCCGACCTTAAAGCCAAAATTTTGTAATCCACTTTCATTGTGACTGAGTGACAATAAGTGCCCTTAGAGCACTACCGCATGTCCTATTGATGGACGGTGACACCATACAGGTTTTCTATGCCAAATAACACATCGGAGACTGCCGCGGTGAGGTTAACCCTGTCAATACAAGCTTGACCCAGAGATGCTATCCTTAGAAACATGCAAAAGCAGAAGGCTGGGGGCGTCGCATGCACATTAATAGTAACAAACTGTTATACTGATCTGAGGTGGTGAACGATTTTCCTTCTTACCTTTCAGGACGTCCAAAACTGTCGTACCGTTTTTGGAAACTGTGCCGCCGACTGCGTTGCTCTATTTTGGAACACGTGACGCCATGCAACTGATGGAACGCGGTCAACAACGGCTCTACACAGACATTCATCCTGGCCCTCACCCGGACCATGATCTTATTACACTACATCGCCATGGTCATGCGTTTGGAGGTCTACCGTGGTTATTCTGGATCAGCCTTGGGCTGTTGATAACGCTCTTCCACTTATTCTTTTGCAAGATTATCTACAACGAACTGTGGAAAGAGAACTCAGACACCGAAGACAAATGGCATCTTCCAAGGTTTGCAACTGATTTACGAACGCCGGAATCTATTAAAGCGCGTGCAGCTATAAAAGCTCAGCTGTTGTCCAGACGACGAAACTTGCGTGACTTTGACAGTATTCCGTGAAGCTTTTCTCAACTACTGACTTCATATTTTTCCCTTTGCTGTGAAATGAAAATATCTCGCCATAAAGTTCTGAATTCAATGTATATATACATGGATTATTACACGACACAAAATAAAACTACCATTATGAACAAAGGGTAGGCTAGGCCATACTGCGATAGGCAGATTCAATGATTTCTCGGGCACGACAAAAGAAGTAGGCGGGCATAGAAGTCAAACACGCAGTCACTTCGAATAGAAATGAGTAAGAAGTGAAAGAACCACAGGATGGTGGACCGACATGAGTGATAGACACAGCACCGGTAATAATGACAACATCGAAGTCAAGCCATCGAGCAAGAGAGGAACAAGAACAGACACCGTCAAGGACGGAGATCACCACATTCGAGCCCAAAAACAGCTTATGGGTATCTTTTCAGCGGGCTGCTTGATGCGAAATAGGTTGAAGATGAAATGCACTTTGTACACGAGATACGGGAAACAGTCATCAGTGGGACAAACGTACAAACGAGCCAGGAGCCGCAAAGGGAACCGGGGTAGCGCCAACTCAGACTGGAAAGACCTGACGAAACGCGTGGTGCGACTTAGTCGAGGTTGATCGGCGAAATGCTATCGGACCACCGCAAACCGCCAAACAAATTCCTGTACAACCATCGAGGACCTGATACTGTACATGAGGTAACCATTTTACAAAGTATGGGGTGAGAAAAATAACAGGCATGGGGCGCAGAAAAGACCATAAAAGCACTCAACCGGCCAAGCAGCTCGATAAAATTGCGATCAGACAAGCATCACCGAAAAGTGTTTATCACAGATACCTCGGACTCTGATGGGTAAAAGAAACGGGCTCAAGAAAGCATTAACTAACGAATGCGTGTCCGAAGTGAAGAGCGATCGTCAGGGGTGTGCGTTCCCACCGATTTAGAATCCGACAACCCATAGGCAATGTACAAAGCTTGTCTTTCGGTCGGCGTCGAAGCGGCATCTACCACCTGACGGCACCCGGATACTATGGAGGGTAAGTGAGAAATGCGGAGAGTGAAGAGGGAAAATGCCTAAGTGAAAGTAATCTGATGGCCTGACCAGTCTAGGCGTACCGGGAGAAAAAATCTGTGGCCACTTACGAAAACCCAACTCCAAGAGGGGGGAGATGTGCCATGATGGACTGGCGTCAAAGTGGATGACCGGAAGGCGATGTGCGGAAATATGAAGCTCCCTGATGAGTAACCGCTTCGCCCGAACTCCGAAGACAGCCATAGAGACAACAGCATACAGGGCTGAAGGGCAGACAGCCAATTGCCACGGCGTGGACTTGGAAGCAGAAATGAGGGCAACGGGTCGTTAAAGGATATTAGAAGGAAAAACGCAAACGACCTAATTTACAAAATACAAAAAACAAAATGCTAACCAGCGGCGGCCTTGCAGCTAAAACAGTAGCTTTGTTGGTAGCCTACCTCGGATGGAAAGAAAACAAAATTGGGTGGCGGCATTCCCAACTTAACAAGTTAGCTACTTTTGTGTCCGCTGTTAGAATCAGGTGATGTACGTCCCGAATGATCAGCGCTATGCATAGTAGTGCGGTACAAGTTTGTCGATCCCGAAATGATACTCCGATTGATCGGCGCGCCGTCTGGTTGAGGACTAGAACCATTCATCTGCATCCATGTATTTGAAACGCCGTTGGGACAGTAATTTAGGCCATATACGAGGTTCAGTACGCGTTGATCGATTTCTCCACCGCCGTGTTCCTACAGAAATAGTCTAATAAGAAAACTATCAACTACTTACCTCCAAAAACCGAAAGAAGGTTTCACCAGTAAGCATTGCGTCACTCCCAGCTTGATGCTTTAGTCCAATACGGGGAACGCGCATCAAGTCAGCTAGCTCTTGAAGACCGCTTTTTGGAAACTTGTGCTCGCTCATCATGGCTTTAAGGTCCACTATCCGAGGAAAGAAAAGGAGCAACAATTTCTGGAACTCCAAGAAATTATCCGGCATACGCAACCAGTCAGTACATATCTTCATCATGTAGGCAAAGTCATAGGCACTAGAAGAATGTGTTGTGATTCAAATCAACCCACCTGTGGAAACCAATCCAAGTAATGCTATCGTTTAAAGCCAAGCCACTTGTAAGGAAGGCCTCTGCAAAATCGCTCAACTCGATCCCCGTGCATTTCAGTTTCTCGAAATCAATGCCTGAGACCTCCAGTAACTGTATTGAATCTGCGGCATGAGTTTCATTATCAACGTTCCACTTGATATTGAACTGGACTGTCGAAACTGCATCTACTGTTTGGCCTCGCTCATTGAAGAAACTAAAGCCGATCTGTATGGGCTTCAGCATGTCGATGTTCACCTTGATGTTGTGATAGGCTTGCTCAAAACTGTTAGCATATTCACCAAAAACCTTGGCTACTACCCCCGGAAACTCGGTATCTACTGCCACATAGCGACATTCCCTGACAAGTCTTCTGATGAGTCGCATCCCATCATGGAAATTGTGCGCCCAAACATCCCACACTCGCAGGTGTCCATTATCGAGGGCAGAATTGTGTAGCAGAGGACTATGTTCCGATTGCTGCTGATGATGGGGTATACTGTGATGCATGTGACCATTTTGAGAGGGATGCGTATGATGAGTCTGATTGTGATAAGCGGCTTGAGGTGCATATCCGTCAGTGGTTACAGCCATGGCGTTCCGGAAAGCGTATTTCCCGCAGTGAGAACCAATGGGTGAATCCGAATGTGAACCAGCAATCAAATGAGTGTTGTAACCGTTCTGTGTCACAGATGGCAGGTCACGAAATGGGTGCATTGAGTAACATAAGTGACACATTCAGCAAATTTACCTGCAAAGGAGATACGGGCTAGGCGTTCAGATTGCACGATAGTTACTGGAAAAACAACCAAAATCTAGATTTCTCACACCCGCTAGGTTAAGCCCAAAACAATAAACAATAAAACCGATAGCTATAACATACGGGGTATTCGCATGCGAGAGACCGGGACAGCTCTCTGTTCGAGATTTGCAGTTTCGCTTTCCTCATTGAACGCAATTGACGCGGTTAAACAAATACCCTATTCATTCGAATAATTACCAACATGGTAGAATCTATCCTGATAAATCTTTGCATTTTACCGTCAATTGTAAGTTTCATCTAAATATCATGATTTCTGCTCTATTCTCGTCATCTTGGTGTTCGCTGATAATTGTGTTTCAATCAACACAGCTCTCCATAGTATTCTTACTATCAAACGTAGTACACACTCCTCAAATATTTTGTTTTTTGTATTTTTAATTTCATTTTTGATCACAGTTTAACCATGAGGTTAGTTCGCATCTTGTCAGTTTCCGGTAGACCGATGGTGACCACGGTCAGTTGAGCGTCATAACTCCAGTGGTGCATTACCCACCAATATGCGTCCAGCTCTGTAACCTTTTGCTTGCCTCCATTGGCCAAAACATTTTATACCGTGCCAAAGACTCATCGATCAGCAGGAAGAGGGGCAGGACAGATACCTCGGCCCACCCAGGCACTGGTGGAGAACTCGACTTAGTGAGGAAATTCAAGGATATTGGTATTAGGGTCCATGCTGGCTTCATATCAAGTGCACGAGAAAGGCACTAGGAGCTCTCTATCAAGTGAAGAGAGCAGTAAACTCCAGAAGGCCGGAGGTTGTACAACTACTGTATAAGGCCTTTGTCAGGTCAGGTCAGGTCACAGGAATTTAGGCTTCGGCCAGTTAACGTCCAGATTCTTGCACTTGTGAGCTGGTAGTTTCCACTGTGCTACGACTTCCAGGTAGTTCCACAGTTATGTATTGGATGTTGTACTTGCAAGAGAAGAGATGAAGAGCAGGATGGCCCTCGTGGAATCAGCAGTCTCAATCATTTGACAGACGCCGCAACTCAGTGGACTGCTACTCCTGCCATGAGAGCTCCCCGGGGGCTGATAAAAAATGATGTTGTAGTAATTGTTATGAGGTGTGTGATGTAGAGGAGTGATGGCAGAAATGAACAAACGGCTTTATAAGTGGGATGTGGGTAGTGGCTGAGATTAATGTTAGTCATACTCGGGAAACACCTTGTCCCAGCATTTTTCTAGTCTCCGTTTCAATTGCAGAACATTAGTTGCTGCTACTGCTGTAGACGGTAACTTTTTCCAGTCCTTTAGTACGCGGCGGGAGAAAAATTGCTCCCTGGCACTTCCGTTGGCCCGTGGTTTCATCAGCTTCAGTACATGCCCTCTGATGGTTGGATTGAGATTTAGTGTAAACAAAGATCTATCTGCTTTTGACCCCTCAGACGACGGCGGTGCAGTGAGAATAAGTCAAGGGCCACCAGTCTTTCTTTGGATGACTTACCCAGCAGTCCACTGATCATTCTGGTGAACCTTCTTTGCACTGCCTCAAGCAGTTGTTTAGTCCTTACTAGGGGAGAAGCCCAAGCTTGAAAACAGTACTCCAGATGTGGTCACACAAAGGTTTGTACAGTGGCAAGAGTACGTTAGCCTCCGTCGATGTTACCGTTTGGCTGAGTTGGAACAAGGCTCTACTGGCCTTCGCTGCGGCTGCCGCACGATGCATTGAGGGTTTAAAGGATGAATGAATCTGCACATCTAGATCCTGACCACATCGATAAATTCTATGGTGTCCATCGACCCAGCGCCTAGCTGACGCACCTCCTCTGCCCTTCTGTTCAGCAGCAGTTGCCTGCATTTGTTGGCACTGAGGGGTAGCTCCCATTTGTTTGCCCAGCCGTGTATTACGTTTAACGCATCTTGTAAGTCCCCCTACTTTGAGGTCATCCGCGAATAGAAGCACGGGGCTCCGGAAGACTTCCGTGATGGCACTACAGGCTGTTGCCGTTTCCAAGGTTTCCTGTTCCACTCTTACACGGAACGTCCTCTCCTGAAGGTACGCTTTGATCTGCCTCACTACCTGCTGGTTTACCCGCAGGGCTTCAGTTTGCGCAGGAGGAACCCGTGGTTGACCGAATCGAGGGCTTTCCTGAAATCAAGGTAGCAAACTCCGAGTCGATCCCCTGCGTCCAACCTTTATGTTACCTCGTCCATAAATGACTAAGGTTAGTGAGGCACGGTTTTCTATCGATAAAGCCGTGTTGTTGGCCTGCTATGATGTATTGTTCGTTCAGATATCCCACCAACCTCTCCCTAAAGAGACGCTCGAGGATTTTCAGGACTACCGAAAACAGGCTTACTGGACGATAGTTCGATGCAGCCACCCTTGACCCACCCTTGTGGATTGGCACCAATTCTGCCACGGTCCAGTCGGACGGCAGCGTTGCTGAGACAAGGAATCGGTTGGAAAGTTGCGCCAGAGCACCTGCAATGATGTCAGTAACGGGATGCAGGATTGCTGGACGCAGCTCATTCGGACCCGCGGCCTTTTTCTCGTCCAGTTGTCTCAGCGCTTCTTATACCTCCTTTGCCTCTAAGACAACTAGTGCCATGTGCTGTTCGGGGAGCCTTCCCAGTAGGTCAGGCAACCGCTTACCTAAGTCTTTTTGTGAAATTTCTCAAAGAAGCTCTTTAGGAATTCAGCCTTCTTACTGGTGGCCACACTGACGCTTCCTGCACTCACTACATTCCCTACCGCTACTCGATAGTAGGACTTTGATTTCACTATTTATAGGGTCATTTGGGTGCTGTTGTTATTGCGGGCAACCCTTATTCATATCCTAAGAGCCCTTTCTCTAGCCGTCAGATAGTGCAGGTGATGTCGATGTCCTCCCCTCAGGAGAGAGGACCATGCCTTCCGCTTTATGGCTTATGCCCTCACTGCCCTTTTTCCCATCAAGGCGGCCGACACCCTATTCTGACCCTTCGTGGGGGAGCGAAAACCTCCGTGAGCCGGGTGATGCAGTCCTTGAATGACTGTCACTCCTGCTCCACGGAGAGAATGCCGTTTGTTGACCACTGGATTGCCTCTGCTGCTTGTCTGAGTGCCGGCACATCCAGCTTCCTAAAGTCTCTCCTGAGCTTGTGTAGGACCGGGGGAGGGTTTCCCCTGATGTGGAACCTAAGTACTCCATGGTCGCCTCTCCCTAGGGGAGCAGATACCCCCGGATGTTCCACATCACGTGGCAGCTTGGTCAGTACTAGTTCCAAGATACTGGGCCTTTGCCCATCCCGCCATCTAGTGGGTTGGTTGAGATGCTGCACCAAGGGTAGCAATGTTATCAGGTCCACTAGTTTTCTAGTTTTCCCTCCGTTGTGATGGCCTCGTGTAACCGTGTTTCGGTAATCACAAAACATTCTGTTCCTACGGCTTCAGCCTTTAGTTCTCTCCAGTTGTTACCTAAACCCCAGNNNNTTCGTGTAGAATGCCGATAACCCCCAGCCTGAGCCTCCTCCTAGCATTGGTGCCACTAGAGTCTCGGACAACCCGCCCGAGTGCTCTCTTTGTTTTTTGTCGCCTGTATGCCCTTGGCCCTCGTTCGCTACAACTGCCCTACGAGCCACCGTAACCCACAATTCTTTACCAGCCTCCAACTGCTCCGGCTAGTACCGGTGACTGATGCTGCACTCTACTAAGCTCCATCCGGATTGAGTTACCCCGGGAATCGCTGTGTCCTGCTAGTCGGTGATGTGTGTCGTCGAAAGCCGTCATACACAGAGGCGTTGTCCGGTTCGACGCCTACCATCCCGTTCGTCATACTCATTATTCTACCCGCCTCCGCCAGGAAANGACCATTTCCCAAGCCTGAGAATTATTTTGCTTAGTGCACGGGCCGGGATTCCCACCTGTCTAAGTAGGTTGGGGGCACGGTTTCTCAGATCCCTTTCTCTCAGTCTGGCACTGCCGCAGGGAGACTCAACCACTCCTTTGATGACTACATTTCGCTGCCTACCTGCTGCGATGCCAGTTTCACGACACAGATTTTCTATCTGGGAAGCCCTGTTAGCCACCTCCCTCCTGATTTCGGACAGACTGGTGGTCCTAGCATTTATGTCTGTTTGGAGTCGCAGAAGTTACGACCTCAAGGTTACCTCCGGCGCTTCCAAACTTGCTCTGACCACTTGTAACTCGTGGTTCATTGTCGGTTGAGATTTCCCTAACTCTATGGCTGTCTCAATTTAAGTTATGGTTCCGTCGTCGGGTTACTGTTGCTCTGAGGTGTGGCGGTGTATAATTAGTTATAAGCATTCACAATAAACCAATTTAAGCCCCACATTATCTAGGTATAATTGGTAAGCATGGGGGTAAGCTTACTGCAAGCTCGATGAAACCACCGGTCGCAGATTTCACACGAGATCCCATTGTTTATGAACTTGGAACACTTCGTACACCTCCTGCCGGGACTCAAGGGTGAGCCAATAGCGATATTACTAGTCAATCTCACCATCCAGCGGGAATGAGATAAAGAAAAGTTTGCTGAGTTAGAGTAAGAGGTGACTTAATGAGTATTAACCTCTAACGAATGGAAAAGGAAAGCCAATTGTGTCGCTGGCCAGCAGTACGTAAACAGAACGCGTGGAAACAGCCTACCTTGAATAGATCGTCACAGACTGCTAAGTAACTCCTTGGGCTCACCGTTATTCCACCTCAGTCCTGCGGGGAGCGTGAAAGAACGTTTACCGTCGATATTATTTTGGGAATGACTCCCGATTGACCCTGTGTCCGAAATCGTTGCCTGCTACGGTTGACTTGAATACAATGATCCTCTCAGGAAAGTTCAATGTTATTTAGGAACGATCGCCCTAATTTGATTGATATTCTTCGCCTCCATCTGGAGTTCCGTGTCCAGGCCTCAAACCCATATCTAGTTGCAGATATAAAAATACTCGAGAA